GGGAGTAGGGAAGGAGCAAAGAGGAAATACATTGATTTCAAAGGATGACTCTTGCTCCAGCTCACAGCAGTTTACATGGCAATGGCGGGATTTACATTTGAACCGGATGAAGATTATAAGTAATGGAGATGGAGATGATGATGATAACGATGATGATGATGATGACGACGACGACTATTGTGATGATAATATGATGATGGAGATGATGATGATGATGATATGATATGATATGATGAAGATGATGACGACGACAACGATGCAGTGTACCGACATGATAGCGATGACGATGATGATACGATGAACTCACAAATTCATCACTTTTGTCATTTGTTTTCTCTGACCGCATGCATGACATGTTCTTGTTCTGAAAATCTCCTTACGTTGATCTCATGGCAGAGATCGAGTCGTCTGCAATGACTGCGGGTTGTCTGTTGGAGCCTGGGAGATCGAAGATGACCCGATGTCTGTTTTCCTTTTCCTCCTCCTTTCCCCCCTTGCTCCTGCTCCAGCTCCTGCTCCTGCTCCTGCTCCTGCTCCTGCTCCTGCTGCTGCTCCTGCTCCTGCTCCCTGCTCCTCTTCCTCCTGCTCCTCTTCCTCCTGCTCCTCTTCCTCCTGCTCCTCTTCCTCCTGCTCACCTTGCTCCTGACCCTCCTCCTCTTTCCCCCTGCTCCCGCTCCTGCTCTTCACTCCCTCTCCTCCCTCTCCTCCTTCTCCTCCCTCTCCTCCCTCCTCGTTCTGCTGTGTATCACTCTGTATTTCACACAGGCAAGCTCATGTCGAGTTTGTCTCGGATGGCTCGGGATCGCTCAGCTGCCCAGTAATCCAAAGTTTGGATGGCAACTACAAGGTACTCCTCCTCCTGCTCCTCCTCCTGCTCCTCCTCCTCCTCCTCTTCCTTGTCCTCCTCTTGCTCTGCTGTTCCTTCTGCTGCTCCGCTTGCCTCCTCCCCTCCTCGATTTCTGCTTCTGCATCCTGCTCTTGTTCTTTCCTTCCTCCTCCCTCCCACCCCTCTCCCAACATTCTGCGGTTTCTCCAGCTACAGCTCCAGCTCCTGCTCCTGCTCCTGCTCCTGCTCCTGCTCCTGCCCCTGTTGCTTCACCCCTTCCTCCTCCCTCTCCCCTTCTGAAACCTTCGACCAGGCACTGAGATCCGGAGACATTCGATTGAGAATAATTCAACACCAGGATGGGTAAGTTAATCTCCTACTGTCCCTTCCCTCCTCCTCTTTCCCTCTTCTCCCTGTCTCTAGAGCCGCTGCTCCTGCTCTTGCTCCTGCTCCTGCTCCTGCTCCTGCTCCTGCTCCTGCTCCTGCTCCTGCTCCTGCTCCTGCTCCTGCTCCTGCTCCTGCTCCTGCTCCTCCTGCTCCTTCCCGTTGTGCTTCACCTCCTGCTCCTGCTACACCTCCTTCTTCGGCTTCTGCCCTTTAGCTCTGCCCTTGTTTCATCGTCTTTTCCCCTTTCTTCTCCTCTGTTCAAAGCTGATTGTTTGTCGGACAGAAGTGAATCGATGGAAGAAATGTGAACCATTGTTACTTGCGATGCTACAAACCTGACTTCTCCTCTCCTCTCCTTTCCTCCCCTCCCCTCTCCTCTCCTCTCCTCTCCTCTCCTCTCCTCTCCTCTCCTCTCCTCTCCTCTCCTCTCCTCTCCTCT